GGGGAAAAAATAGATCAATATTAATGACCGAAAACGATTTAGGCACTAAAAGTCTATCAGACTTTCTCTGATTAGGCTGATATGAATTGAAGTTGAAAACGTTAAAACCTGACTTTAGCCTTGCAAGGAAAAGGTGTCCTACAAGATTCCTGCACTGGGTGACCCACACGAGCTGACACAGATGTTTAAGCCTGATTATGTGATTTTATCTGAGTAGCAGGTGAATGTAAGTTAGAAACAATTATGGTGCATAAAAGACAGGTTCTTGCAAATGAGGAATCTATAAGGAAGTTAGGATCTCTAAGACAAAACAAAAGTGAAGAGGAAAGATAAAATACACTGCTTTGCCTTGTAGGCTTTCTTCCACCCAGCTTTTAACAATGCATTTCTCTTTCCAATAAGAAATTATCAAGTTGGGCATGGAAAACATCAGGATCCCTCCCTATAACTGCTAGAAAATAGCAAGTTAAAAAAAAAAGGGGAGGGTGGGGGGCAGTTGGGGTAGGGTGAGAAGGGGTGATTCAGAAATGTAATTCAATCAGGTGTGGTCGAAAGCAAGGTCTCAAAGAAAGCCCTTGGGTCAATTTAACACAGAATGGAAAGGCTGCAGTTGGGAAGTCTCCCTCTGCCAACTTAAATTATAGATGGTTTCCAGGAGTTTCCTTAATAAAATTTGTCTACGGAGAAAATATTGGTGTCAATGAGGGGAAAAAATCTTGATTCACGGAAAATGGGAAAGAGAAAGGCAGCTTCAACCAGGAGTTAGCAATCAATCTATTTCTCAGACAGAGTCCTGGCAAAACCCATTCTCCTGGTAGAACTTGCCTGGAGTAGACCAGATTGATTTGACAGTCTCTTAGCCTAATAAATGCCTGACCTCAAGGTCTGCTGAATTCACTAAATTCACTATGCAGAGAGAATTGGGAACCAATCACCTCTGGGGAACATCCTGTTCTGCAGCCCTCCCCTGATAAAGGCCTTGACTGCTTTCAGCCTTATCGAGATGACTAGATGAAAGCTGCTCTCAGGAAAAGAAAGGTTAATCGACTACACTGCTGTTAATCAATCACTTGGAAAGATTCAGCACTTAGAATAGGTAGGCCCCTCTTCCTGCCAAGAGATTCTTGCATGTTAACCAGGGACCATCTCCTCTGGTTTGAAGGATGAGTAATAGAAACACAATCCAGATAGATGCCAGGTGTCTGATCCAAAGCCAGCTGAAGTCAATAGAAAGACTCCCAGCGAGTTCAATGGGCTTGGATCAGACCCCGGAGAAAGACTTATTATCCAAGGTTTATTCTGCATACAGACATCGAGCTATTTTAGTAGTGAAGGATCCTTGAAAAGAAGCAGATTCATCACACTTTTGCCTCCCTGTGATATCAAACTTCTTCAAATCATACTGTGTCCCTGATTGTCAGATATGGCTGACATCCAGCAAAGGAAAATTACCTGCCTGTGACAGCAAAGACAGACACTTCAAAATCTCTAAAGAGTACAGGAAAATGAAAAAAGCCAAGCTGCTAAATGTTTTCCTGGTCTTTTTGTAATTGCTGTAGCCAAAATGGTAGCTTTCTCAGATAAGGGAAAGTTAGATGAACTTCTGAAAGGACAAAGGAAAATGGAGGGAATAAAACTAAAAAGATCCTGCCAGGAAAAAGAAGGTCAGTGCTGAACAAGCAGGAGTATGCAAGGGGAAGCTGACAGAGCCAGAGAGAAAAAAAATTCAAGAGAAAAACACAGGCCTAGAAAGCACCCCTGAAGATGAGCTATTTCTCTAAATGAAGAGCTGTATTCAGCACCAGGACCAACTGATGGCAAAGCAGTGATGCCTGTCTAATTGCAAGTTCAAGTGTCTCAGCCTGTTGTTACAAACCCAGGCCCTGTTCCCCCTGTGCAGAAGCCCTTGACAGCACGTCTGCACCACCACACAGCCAAAAAGCCATATGGCCAACAGCTGAAACCAGAAGATACACACCTTTAGGACACCTACATCTACAAGTAGTTTATAGTTTATTGCAGAGTCTAATATAGACTTCTGCTTCTTCAAGGTATTGCTTCTGGCATTTTCTCACTACCACCCTCAGCAAGGACCTCCTTGCTGAAGGTATGCCAGCCTTTACTCACCTGGCTCCATCTGCTGCAGAAGGCTTCAGGCTGCTCAAATTCTGGAACAAAGCTGCTGGCTTAAAAGTTTTGCTTTAGGAATAACCCAGTTTTCACTAGATGCAGATACCTGAAGTGGAGAATGACAGACTGGTGCCATGGACTGTACCTGGCCTAGCTAGGGAAGACGTCCTACAGAAGGCTGGACAATCATGCAGATGCAGCAGCTATTTTCTACTTCTCTGAACATTCATGGCACTGCACAGCATCCCAGGAGATGGATTTTTCCTCCTTATACAGTGACAACGAGGGACACATCAGTGAAAGAAAATTATCTAAAGTGCACTCTCTATGTATGATTTCTATGTGCTCCAAGAAAATGCTTTATCTGAGGAAGGGCAGCCATCTTCAGTGTAGCCATGTTCTTTGCCAAGTAAACAGCTGTGGTTGCCAAAATCAATTCCCTAGTTTTCCCATTGCTGGCTGAAAACACCCTCACAAGACAGATTCTGCATCTACATCCAAAAGCAAGGACTGATATATGGTGACTTTTTTTCCCTTTGGCTCAAGTGATAAAATAACCAGCTCTGCAAGCAAAGCAGGGCAGATATTAAAGAGTGAAAAGTGCCTGTCTATTCTCTAAGGAAATCTGACAAGAAATACCACATGCAAAACAAGAACTAGATTTAAGAGGTACTGCAGCTTCTTTCTGAGAGAGGACTTTGGTATAGCAGCCTTATAAATCTGAAAATGTCAGCCTAACTCCAATGTTATGTGTAATGGGCACTGCATCAAAATTCACAAGCAGCAGTCCTCTAAGAAGCACTCTGCTGCTAGAGCCTGAATTTGTTGTCTACAACCTTTGTATCAAAATCATGTCAAAAGTTAACCTGCTAAGAAAAATAGGAATATTGTGTGGCTTTTCAGGTCTTGTTTCATATTACTGCAGGTGCAGATTCATGGAAACAGTGCTTTATCTTCTCATGTTTGCCACTGGCTTTTCACAGCTGTAACTTCTATTTTTTAACAAGATTCTGTTCTGATATACTTAATTTTATTGTAGCAATAGCAGCAGGTTCTGTTGTGTTTGCCATTCCGTGGACTCACATCAAGCCACTCCCCTGCAGTTCTCTTGCCAGTGGTGGATCCTGCTGTAGCCACAGAACTGAGAAGAGATCCAGGTAAGAACCGATATATTTCATCTGTGACTATTAATTTATTAGCCCATAATGGATGAGCATAAAGCACCTGCAGCTCGGTACTAATGACCAAGGGAGGAAGAACAAAGGTTGCCACCTCATCAATTTTTCCTCATGTCATCTGGAATCCTGCAAGGCTTAACTGCCTAAACTTGGTTGCACTGAATTATAACACCTGAAGACAAAAACCCTCTTTTGTCTGAAAGAAATGGAAAGACGGATGGCAGAGAAACGGACGGGAAAGTCTGAGCGTCTCATCGACCCAACTGACATCCTGTGAATGGTAAGCAGTAAAAATGTGTTGAGAAACAGAAGTTCTTACCCGTATCACTGCCTCTCCCCCCTCCACATTGTTAATGCCACAGAAAAATGTAAAACACCCTTAGGCCCCATATTTAAAAATCTTGCGATTTTATTTGCATATAAAGGCCGCTAGATATAATATCACAATAAATTTAAAGAAACAACTGCTTTTCTAAATTCCATTAACAAGGTAACATAAAACAGAACAAAGCTCAATAGCATTTACAGTGGTAGAACAGAAATAACTATCTGCAACAATATTTTGTGCTAGCGAGATTGCATTTACACACAGTGCAAAATAAGAGAAAGGAAATCAAGAGACAAGAAGAATATTTAAATATAAAGGACAACTAAGCCTTATTTTAGTTAGGCTTGATTGTTTTCATTTGACTCTATACATGCCTGAACTACGACAAAGATTTAACTCGGGCTCTTGAAGGCCTTGAGCACTTGGAAAATGTGTCACATCCTTCATAATTTAGATGTGCTGTACAGCATAATTTTGCAGATGCTATACTGGCAATATTAAATCCTAGCTTAGTTATAATGCACAAAAAATACATATATATATAAATTCATATTTAAAAGGAGTCCGCATTTACATTTTTTTTCTTTTTTTTTTTACTGCATGAAATACCTGCTCTTTGCAGCTTTCACCCCCAGTCTTTTAAAGCTAAAATAATTTAAAAACAAACAATAAAAGGCAGATAACACATACAGGCTGTGGCTATCTGTATCAGTCTTTAAAGTATAAAAGCAGGCAGTGACAAACAACTGAGAAATCTGTTCTCCCCTTGCTGCATTCTACTGTTATAGAAACGAGTTTCAGTACATGCACACATACCAAGAGGTGAATGGACCCCAAAATATTGTTTGTACTACTAAAATAATGGATACAAATGGAGATGAAAAGCTAACATGTAGGACTAGAGAAAAAGAAGACACTTAAAAAAACCCTCAACAATAACATAAGTTGTGCAAATTTGGGTGGTTTTAAATGCTGCCTATTTTTTAGCTTATAATATAATATTAAAATAAGGTCTCTCACTTATTAAAAGAAAGCTTGGCTGTCCTTTTGAGAACACTATAACAATTTACAATGGCAAATTCATTGAAAAACAAAATTCATTTTACAAATTCACAATGCTTTATCAATTTAAAATGAATGCTGCATTTCCAAAAAGCACAACCTCTAACTTTTTTTGTTTCTTTTGTACCAGCAATTTACAAAAAAAAAAACCCAACCAAAACCCAAACCCCACCCCAAACCAAAAACCCCATTGCTCCCCCAAATTCTCACCCCTCCCCAAAGTTTTGAAATAAACATGTAACAGAATGTTTTACAATTAGAAAATGGCAGTTTATAGACCTTCCCCAGTTCCAAGTAGTGCTTCATGATCCTTGAGGGGTTGGAAGGTCAAATATAATTGGAGGGTTGGTTGGTTGAAAGCTGACTGTACACGTTGAAGCATTGATGTAGGTTGTGTAACCGTCTGTCATAATGCCATAACCTGTAGGGAGAATGTGTCACACTTACTGTAATATAAACAAACGATACTGCCCGTGGGCAGCTGCACTGAAAGCCTGTTGTGGGATCAATGCTTTGGAATAAAATTAAATTAATCCCTTCAAAATGCTACAAGCTCTTGAAAGCTGCCACAAAGGCTTGATTGGAAAAAAAAATAAAAATAAGACAATGTACTGTATTTGAAGTAAGAACTGGTGCTTTTGTTTTATATACCAACGTTTTTTCCCCCAAGGAAAATCCTCTGTCGCAATTGGATATGGCAGAAACAGAGACAAAACCACACATGTACTTCTTCTAATTACTTAATTAGTGAGTTGTAGCTTGCGTGCCTGTAATGTTTCTTGTAAGAAAGAGATCAATCAAGAGAAAAAAGTTTAGAAGTAGCTCTGGTTTCATCAACAAAACCCCCTCTCTGAGCAATGAACTGAATCCAGCAAGCTGTCCCCACGCTAGTGCCTTTCATCCAGGTCCTCATAGGACTACCATGCATGCCAGCTTAGGGAACCTCAGAAACTTCTTAAAGTTAAAAATATACACACATTTATTTTATATGTATCTAACGATGAAAATAATGACTGAGGAAAGGAATCTCCTGCTATCAACACAATAAAGCAGCGGAGGTCAATGGGTGACCTCCAGCTTAAAGAGAAAATTGAGGTGAAGGTTAAATAGATGACTGTTTTTTATTCCAAAGGGATCTTGGTAACTCATTCCCAAATAAAAAAGCAGGAAGAAGCAAATACTAATTACAGGTTTTTCAGCATGCCAAGGACTTGACTCCTCAGTGACACTATGGCATCAGTTTCAGGATGCTGAAGACTGCTCTCAACCTTCTAACCGTCTGGCCAGCAATGCTTGTGTTCAGAGTATGTCTGAGGAAGCAGCAGCAATTCTGTTTCTCTGCTGGCCTCTCTTCTCTGCCACTTGCCACATGAGAACAGGACATAACAGAGGGTTGTGCACTCCACTACTTTTGGGCAAGGGAAGCAAACTATAGCAACCCATCAATTGAGTCACACCTGAGCCTTCATTCAGCAAACATGACCTGAGAAAATGAATGATAACAAAAGCACAGCGATACTGAGAAGGCAGAGGCTCCTCTTACAGACATTCTCTCAAGGATAAGGAGATCAGGGCTCCAGTTCCACCACTGCAAAAGGTGAGAGAAAGCTTTGCCATTGTTTTCAGCTGACATCCACAGAAAGCTAACAAAGAAGCTAGAAAAAAAATCTAGGAAGAGTTTCGCACCAAATGCACTTTTAAAAATAATAATAATAATAAAAAAAAAATCAACATCAGAGTTTCATGGAGGAAGAGAACTTCCCATTGCTAACCCACAGGGGGAAAATGTTTTTCTTTTAAACCATTATGATACTGCACAGATCATCACAGTCTGAAAGCTAAGATAAACACAGCTACCCACAGTGTCTATCAGAAAGAATAATCACTTCAGAATTGCTGCCCTGTCCGCCTGTATTACTTTATTTATTTAGACTGGCAATTTTGATTTAAGTCATCTCATGGTGGGAAAAACCTCCTTCGTGGTTTTTCTTGCTTATCAACCAGGAAAAACAACCCTGCATAACCAAAATGTGTGTATAGACTCTGTTGATTTAATGGAGTGTGGTGCATATTCATCTCAGCTGGAGTTGGATGAGAATTAATTGTACTGTAAAATAAGGCTCTTAACACTTGGCCATTTCTTACAGCACTGAAACAAACTGTTCTTGTATCTTCTGCCTAAGTACTAAAGAGGATTTAAACTTTTTTGTAAATGTCTATGTAAAAATATATTTTAACATTCACTTTTAATATGTCCAACCACATTTCCTATGAGATTTACATGTACGGTGCTGCACAGGGTTCCTCAGTGCTTTCTGTATTATAATGATCTTGCAAATTAAAATACCTTCCTTACTATTGCATAACCCTATTACAATTAGAAGTTTCATCAGCCAGTGGTGCCTAAAACGCTGTTGAAAATTTACATTATTTAGCTGGAAATTCTGCTGTATTCCCTTACTCTTAATATCCAAGGATTAATATTTATACAAAATACCCTGTCTTTTCTTCAAAGGACTGTTATCTGTGCCACTATATTTAAGGTCATGTTAGTATTTCCATTATAAACTCTTTATTTACAGATACCAGACATAAAACTCATTGTATGAAGTCACAAGGGCTTCAGAAAAGCCAACAACATCACTTAAAAAAGCTCTCCTTTTTTATTTTTCTTTTATGAAGTCCTCCAAATCTTTAAGCCTATGGAGAACCTAATTAGAGTCAATGGAGAAACCTCCAGGGGGGACAATATAAAGCATTTAATGTGTAATTTTGAGTTCTAGGGTCACAAAGTCTTACACTCTCTCAGGCTGAACTCCTAGTTTTTGTCTCTCAGCCACATGAAAGCTACAAAATTGTATTAAATATTTAAGTATCTCCAAAATGGATTTAATCTCTCAAGTCTATTCCACAGCCACAAACTGAACATCTTGTTTCTGAAGCTTCACACTGCCTGATCTGGTACTGTCAGTAGGGAAGTCTCTCTTCTAAAACATGCTGGAAGGTAACATACATAGTACAAAACGTATTACACGATGGTTTTAGAAATCTATGCAAAGTGAGATCTGCCAATCTCTTCTGACATCTGACTCAAGATGCCCTCCTTTCTGCTTTTCTTAAACACAGAGGGAGGAGAGCTAAGGCAGTAAGTTGTCTTCGATTTTTTTTCTAGCACCCTTCTTGGCTCCTGTGCTTGGAATAATGGGGATCATTTTCATTTTGGCTTGGAAGGCTGGGGAATTTCATCTGTACCTCTAAGCCAAATATGTCAGAATTTGAATTAATTTCAAGTAACCTGTATAGAACAACCCTTGCACAGTGACACATGTAGGTGGCTAAATGTAGCACACATTCCTGAAATAGTCTGTTTTAATTCTGGAATAAATTTACAAAGTCCTGTGCACACAATCACCCCTCAGTTCCCTCCCTACTTCAGTCCAATATGCCATTATCCATCCTTTGCAATACACCACCAAAATATGCTTCTTCAAAATCAGCCTGAGATGGAAGAGGGGAGTAGTGCTGCTCCTTACCTTCATGAATCCCACCAAAGACATGGAGTTTGGGTCTTACTCGCCTCTGCACCGTGTTCAACAGTTCCACACAACCCACCCTCTGCAGCTCCTTTGGAACCCAGTCTCGAAAACCTGAAGGCAAAATGTAATCAATAGTATTAATTTTCTCTATTCAGATAAGGTTTCACGTAGTCTTTCAGGAAGTCATAATTCACAGAAGGTTTATTACATTATTTGTAGTCATAACCTCTCCATTAAAGCACACAATGGCTTTTAAGAAATGTTTCACTGTCACTTTGTCTTCCTTAAGATTTCCTTCCTCCATTTGCATTAATATTTTTCTGGATGTGATTTGGTTTTTGAAACCATAGGTTTAAACTCATCTTCCACCTTGAAACCCTGAGACATTTATTCCTGGCATTGCTGCAGATTTTTCTTACAGCAGCCAGCTTCCCAAGGCAGCTGGGTGGTTACTCCAGAAATTAAATACCCCAGGGAAGATCAGCTGATCTACAAGACCTCTGACACCCCAAAGATTTAAAATCCAGTCTCCCACAACTTTCAGAGGACTATGGTTTGCAAATGTCAGTTAACTTTTGAGCTACCACCACCAAGCAATGCAGCAAAATCACTTCCAACAAGCTAGTGCTAATTGACCACATTGCCACTCAGTCCTCTGGATAACATGGAAAAACATACAAAACTAGACTGAAGCATGGACTAGAACTGACAAGGACAAGATGAATGAGGAGTAAAAGGGACATGAGAACCCACATGCAACTGCAGCACCGTTCTACTGAGTTTGAAGTAGTTACACCCCATGCCAAGTTTATCCCAAGTAGTAAAAACATGTCATGACGTGAAACTCAGTGAATTTTGGAGAGAACAAAGAGTCTAGTTATGGCTCTACCTCCCTTAATATTTATTTAATGTAAAAAGCAGCATTTTGTCAATATTCTCAGACAGGCTAAAACCTAGACTCCCTCTTTGGAGGCACAGTTCTAGCACCTAATCTCTGCCTCTAGTTAAAATACAGTGCCAACCTTTTGAAACTGAACTTCATTATCTCCATCAAAACCGAAATTTAAGTGCGCTTACTCAATTAAAGCACTCATTAGTGTCTGCAGCACGACAGTATTTCTATATGAACCCAATTCAGAGCAGATGGATTATCAGCCCATTTAAAATAGCACCCAGGAAACATGATAACCACACTTGTGGGGATTTTTGCATCTTTGGGAAAATAAACAGATTAAAAGAGTGCTATTCAAAGCGGTGATTTTCAATATCCGGTGCTCTCCACTCACAGTGGATGGTGCATCACTGTTTCATCAACACAGCATGCTGGTAGCTCTGGTAAGATTAAAGAGAATTTGCAGATCATCTTACAACATTCTCTAAGTAGTATTAAAAGAGTAACCAGGCTATAAAAGGAACAGTAAGTAAATTACTGGTCAAAAACTTTTGGTTCTTTTGTTTGTTTGTTTCCCTTCAGCTCTGCTTAAATTGTTGACTCTTTTAGTTGTGACACAAAACATCAGCATGCACTAATTCCTGACTTCATGGTCACTGAGCCAGTCTGGTAGCACTTAAATGTTGTTTTCTCATGCAGTTATGGGAAGGTGTTTCTTTTTTTTATATTCACTACTATCTCAAAAGTCACTGACGTCCTGTGATGATCTGACTCCCTGGATTTCAAGACAAAATCACCATCTCCTAACAATCATGGTAATGAAGAAGAAGCTGATGCAATTTCTTATCCTGCCTTATTTATAAAAGGCAGATACCCAGTCGTTGCCAAACCAAATAAAATATTTAAAATATGGTCCCAAACTGGTTGCCACATCTGTCTTAAAGAAAAGCAGTAAATAATATGCAATACTACCATGTGGGGTACAGGACAGGGAAAAAATAGTGGGAATTTTCAAATGGTTTTAATGACTTCAGATATGCCAAACTGAGTACTCCTGCCTCTGCTGAATGATCATCTAAATGTGTCTTTTTGAAAACATCAGAAATTAGTTTAGTACTCAGAATTAAAATGAGGATCAGTGAATTACTCATATATAGAAGGCAAGCAATATTTGAACTAAATTAAAAACTTCACCTACTTAATGAAAATACAAATTATGCATTCTTAAGACTTCTGCTCACCTATGATTAGTTCAAGTAAGGAACAATTATGTGAGAACATAAATTTTTATTCCTTCACAAATTTGCTATAAGCCAATTAATAACTTTTAAACCACTGGTACATATTCCAAGATTACAAGGACGTTATCAAGGAGAATATGTGACTACATACTCCTGAACTCTTGACTGCATATGCTAAAACCTTAAAGAAACACATCACTAAAGTGGAAAAACGTTTAAAAAATTTTAGGCAGTCTCTGAATAATTATATGGGATTGGAAATGGTTTGTCAGCTGAATACTGTTCTTAAATAAAATATCAAACTGTAATGGCTACGATGGCTACGGACTCAGGTATTTTGTCTACCCTAGCTTGACTTTAACAAAAAATCTAGTTTTTATTAAGAAAACACCTGGAAGCTAAACAGATTTGCTAAGCCTAATCATCACTTTACACTTCTTCCCAAAAAAGCTTTTTTATTCACAGTTTTGAGTTAGGCTGCAATTACAGTATAGCTTACAGCACTGTTAATTTAGCTTATTTTGAAAGGAAAATTCTCATGCAAAAAATCACACACAGCTTCTGTTTCACTTACCAAGGGGAGGTCCATGTGTCATTAGTATATCAATTCCCTCAGGAATAAGGTTCCACTTGTCTAGCAAAGACTGACCTCTGGGTAGGTTAAAGCCCCATCCATTAAACCATGGTGTCCTTTGGGGGAAAATAAGATGAACGGCATCAGTATAAAATAAAAATCTCTTCCCTTCTCCAATTTTTCTGAATTCATGCAGTTCCTGTGCTTCAGAGATTATTTGCAGGCTGCCTTTTTGCAGGGGATGCCTCTAAACCAAACTGGTTCAAATACATACTTACATGAATCTATATGTTTGAATTTAATATCAGAACATTGGCACATAACTTGGCTTTGAGCTCCTGAGCCTCCTAGAGGTCTTGATCACACAAAGTTTAGCCTCACAGTGACTTTTTCAAGTAAATAATGTAAATAATGTAAAATTCATTTAGCATTTCTTAAGGAAAAAGAAGATCCTCAGTCTCCACCACCATAGCACAACATTATTGTGAGACATTGGTTTATCCACCAACCCAGGCAAGCAGTAATGAAAGGCAGCAGACCTTGTGGGAGTCCTTTTTCAATACGTAACAACCAAACAAAATAATTTTGATGCATGTATATCATAATAAATCTTTTCTTTATCAGGTAGGTACACAGAGTTATTGCTCTGAAAATATACTATAATATTTACAGCTGTTACTAACAACTTCTATACGGCTGTTAGTACTAATTTTAAGGGTTTTCATTCATGTATGTGTTTCCTAGAGCTCAGGCATCAGATTTATATGGGATTGCTTTACTTTCTAGGTAGGATACTCCTGTCCTAGCCCTAGCCATGTGGAGGAATCTTTCTGAGAGTTCGAGCTACTTCTGTAGGCTTCTGTGCACTGCAGTTCTAAAAAAAACAAAAAATAAAGAAGGGGGGGGAAACCAACCCCAAAACAACCTTAAAGAAAAGCATGTCTATTAAAAAGAGAGAGCTGGAGTCCTACTGAGAGTCCTACATAATTTAATTATGTAATCTGCCTTCTTGCACTCTCTAAATTAGGCAGTATTCAGCCTCAAATATGCATTTAAAAGGAACCTCCCTGCTGAGATTACATCTCTAATCTTTGTTTTTTGTAATTAAAGTATTTTGTTTTCCAGAGACAATAACTTGACCAATGAAGATCATATTCAGTTATACATATGGCCTGAATTCCTGACAATCAGCAGTATGGGAAAACAGCAGGCACTGCTAATATAGGAGCAGGAAGGTCACTGGTGCATTACTAACAAATAATAAGCATATTCCAGGTAGTCCTACTGAACTAACACTTACATTACACACACACAGGAACTTGTTCAACCTAGGAGACTTCCTGAACGTTGGATGAATGGTAACAAAAGATGGGAAAATTAGATGTTAGTTAAACATGTTATGTGAGCCGTGGGTTCCTCACGTGCACAACAATGAAACGTCACCTCTCACTGCTGGCTTGCTCTGCACCCCACTGAAACACTTAAAAAAGTTCATATGGTGGAAAGTAAGGTCAGCATACCTCACAGGAGGTTTGCATGCAACTGAATTAAAACTGAAGCATGTGTCTTCGCTTTAACTAAATCACAATTGCTTCTGCTTTTCTATGACTGACCTTTCTGAAACACCTAAATTTTCTTTCCTATAAAGCTCATAGGTTTTAACGTATCAGGATTATCGTAACCTTCAGGGCTGCAGTTAAAAGTTAAAATATGGTTTGACTAAACATCCAGCTGCTTAAAAAAACAAACACACAGTGCATAGGTTGAACTTTTCACTGTCAATTAATGATTCTTTCCCCACTTGCATTTCTCCTGCAGATAATACTGTAGTTATTACACCATAGTTAAACCTGAAATGTGAAACCACATCTGTGATCTCTCTGGAGCTCTTTGGAGACTGCAGTCACAGAAAAACCTGGATTTGTCTGCAGGTTTTTTATTTTATTTTCTTCTGAAGCACTGGGAGAGGAGGAGGAAAGGAACCACAGATTCAATATATTCTTCATTCACCAGCCTCTGTAATTAGCTGTGACTAACAGGCACCACATGGGAATCCACTTGTAAGAAAACTTTCAGGAAACCTTCCCTACTATGCAGCATATGCACAGAAAAGACAGTCAAGTACTTCTTTAATATACTAAATATTTTCATATAAAATGAATGTATGTGGGAGAAGAGAGGGTATGACTGGAAGACCACCTGGATCTAGGTTTCAGACATTTGAAACACAAACCTGTACTGCATATTCACCAAGAGTTCTGTGCCCTGACCAGGCAAACTGAGACCCTGAGCCCCGCGTCCTCGAGGTGGCTCAGAAAGCCAAGAGGACATGTTCAGAACAGCACCAAGAAGAAAAAAAACAGCTATGTGATACAGACACAGGTTTAGGTGAGATCACAAGGAAGGTCACCTGGTGTTTGCACTGCCCTGCAGACAGAATGGAGTTGACGTGCTGTGAATCCTGTGAGGGAACAGATGAATAACTGTTTACCCCCAGCAAACTTCAAATGTGTGCAGAAAAGACAGAGCTTGCACTGTAGGTAAGTAACATCCTATCAAGAGATACTGGATGGGGATGTATCACTCCTACTGCTGCCCTTTTTTTGCATACGTATGAGTTAAATAGAGTCACTCTCAATTTCTAAATAATTTGGAGGAAAAAACGGTGTGCCCAGTTACATGCCTTCTGCACCATCTTCTCAAGCTGATTATTTACTGGGAGAAACCACCTCATACCGAAGAAGAAATTCTATAATGAACTTTGGCTGCATCCATTTGCAGTAAGCTGCAATCAGGTGCCAATACTTAGTAAAGGCTACTTAGTCATTAATCACCAGATTTAAGATCTGACATATTTTTCTTTCCTGTGAAGTTCTAAGTGAAGGATTCCAGTTAACTCCTAAAAACATTAACAGTACCCACGTTTGTAAGCAGCTGACAAGAAAAGAAAGCGATCAGCTGTTGAATAATGCCACAAGGGAGGCGTAGACGTAAAAGCCACAGGGATTAGTAATGAGAGATTACAAATGATTTTGTCATTTTCCGTTTGATGGACCAGAACACTTCCTCATACCTGATGCACAGCGCGACGCGGGCCCCGCTCGCCCAGCGTGACAGGCTGTGTCCGGGAGAACCTAATTGAGCCACTGCTCGTCAGAACCACGCTGCACTTCACAGCAGCCTTCACGTGCCATCAAGCTGTCATGATAATTCCCGATCCCCGGCTCATCTGACAGCTCAGCCCTCCCCTGACTGCAAAGCTTCCTTATCATTTAGGGATAGCAGTTATGCTGGCACCAGATGTGACACAGGGAACATCCTCATGAAAGGCAGACACCTGGCCCAGCATTACTCTCTTCAGTTCTTCGTATCTGCACAGGAATCCCCACAGATCCAGCTCCACCTGGCATTTTGGAAGCTACGTTTTCTGCAATTAAAATAGTGCTTATGCAGTAGGCTGAATATTATCTTCACATCTTGTGCTGCAAGAGACGGAGCCATCACTTGACATAATACCAAGGAGGGGATCTTAAGCTTCACAACAAGGCTCACCCGCCTCCATAGCTGCACTGGGAGAACTCCCTGACAAGACACACAAATCCATCTGCCTCTCCAGCAAGTGACCATATTTCCCTGTTCCCAAGTAATTTGGTACAGCTTTACTATTTCATTATTACTTAAAAAACAAAACAACAAAAACCCAAAACCACAGTGATGGAGCATTGTTTTATGAAACAAACAAACATCAGAACCGCTACTTGGTGTATATACCTCAGAAGCAACACAGTCACATAGGGAAACAGGAGACACAAAGCCAGGGACAAATTAATCCAAGGGATACAGGAATTCCAACTCCTTCTGGAAATCTAACATTTTTAAAGGGTGGTATCTCCAACTACCTACTTTCATCTTTTCTCTGGCTCATAAATTTCATTACCTTATCCTCAGAGTTCAGGAACTCAAAAGGTAAATGTACAACAAGACTTTCTAGATTTGGGTTTTCCTTTTACGTCCACCGGTAAATCCACTTATTTCAATAGTTACTTCTAAACAGGATTAGAAAAAATAAATTACCTCATGGGATTTTAACCCCACTTATTGATTCATCGCTAGGGCTACCCAGTCTATTAGGAAAGCTTAAATTTTATCCTTAATCCAATAAGTAAAGTGCACATAAGACAAAAATCTCACCCTGTTTCCTTCCACAGGACAAAAGCTGAGGAGGTATCCAAAAGGTACCGTAGCAGGAATCACTTCTACATAACTAGGAACAATAATGAAATGCTCTTTGTTTTTGTCAGCATTCAAATTGAAGACACAGACCTGACTCATGAGGGAGACAGTTCCACCAGCAGAACAAAAACAGGACAGGACACCAATATAAACTAGTAGACTTGTTCAGTTACAGGACTGGCCTACAAATACATCCCCGAAGTATCTATCACAGTCCAAAGCTGCAGCAGTGCCATGGACCAGCAGAGAACAAACTGCAAAAGGGGTAAAGAAAAAATGGCCTTTGTGTACAAAAAAGAAAAGCCTTTCAAACCACCTCCCTCTGCCCGACCGCAGAGCACAAATGTTTGCCAGGGCAGAGCAGCACACGCACCCGTCTCCATTCAGCCAGCGGACAGAGCGTGCCTAGTGGGAACACAGAAAAGGACCTGGCATGGGGGGAGGGAGAAGGGGAAGGAGGGTGTGTGTAATCATGGGAACAAAAGGCTGAGCAGGGCAAGTGCACAGTGTATTAAGGAAGCACATTTTAACAAGGTAAGAGCTTCTATAAAGGGTCTGAAACTTGCCTTCAGTGCTTTAAAAGCCTATTTTTGGTTAAGCTCTTTCTTACGGTGAATATTCAAATGTTTTTTCAAAATGCAACAACAACCAGGAAATCTTAAAGGCTAAATTATTTCCTTAATGTGATCATTACAGATAATGTGCTATCACTAAAAGGCACACAGTCTGGTGGCTTGAGCTGTATTTCAATTCCACTAGCATTTACCTGCTGTGTCTCAGTGTCCGCTTAGAAAGTAAGGACAATAACAGACAACCAAGAGAGACATCATGGGGTCTGGTTCCTTGGGATTTTGCTTACCCTGCATATTTGAACAGCTGAAGC